AATACTTAGAGGCTACTTTTATGTGAACCAATTTGTGGTGTAATTGTGTGGGCAGACCAAAACGGACCTCAAACTGAGGAGAAATGACTTGTTTTCAAAGTCATCAGCCCACAGTCTTTCCCTGAACAGGATAATGACACAAAAAAGCCTGTTAACACTTCTGTGATGTAAGAAAAAAGCTTTTAGGGCCAAATCTATGATGTGAACTGAACGACAAGTTGTATATTTACTTTTTATAATGAAGCCAAAACCTTCACCTTCTATTCATCAGAATTTTATATATTGTTAGTTATAACAAAAATCAGATGAAATAGTTAATAAATAATTTGGCATTAAAGACAAACTGGGGTCACGGGAGATTTTTTTGGAAGAAACTGCACAAAAAAGCCAGGGATTTAAATTAAGGGTAGTGCACTGAAGTTTCATTGTGTCGACCGTAGAATATTATGAATTACTGTTCTTAAAGTTATTTGTAAACAGTCACATGATATTGCTGGTTATAAGCAGTGGTGTTATACTCCAATTTTGAGTGGGAACTCTCTGGTTAATAAAGATAACTAGTAAACAACAGACCTACTTAGTGTCAGTACGGCATCTCTCAGAGGTTTAAACCTCAGACACATTTTCTGGGTAATGGCTCATCACTTACTCTTGATTTATATGAAACAATAATGTTGCGACTGAACATTAACATACAAACTGAACAAAACATTACAATTGTGTTTATGGCACCTCCTGCAGGGGAGTAAAAAATTGGAAGGATTAAACACACCTTTTATAGAAGATAAAAATAACTTTTTAAAAGCTAAAAAGAACTGTTAACTGAGGGAAACAAAGACATCTCAGGGTATTATTTTTTAAAGAAGCAACATAAGATATACTGAGTACGTTTTATGCTTTTCATCATTAAAGTTGATGTGCCTTACATCACTCAGAACATTTTTTGTTTAAATTCAGCCACTGCTGCTTCTAAAAGTGGTGCCGTATAATATGTACAGTGTTTATTTAGAATGTGAAATGACCAAGACCAGAATGAAAAAGGGGTAGAGTTAAATATTTAGTTGCCAAATGAAGTCGAGTGGATGTGGACCTTGAGACTTGAGCTGGGCAGCCCCACCACCGCCACCACCACAGTATGATATCACCCTGCCCTCAGAGCGTTCTGGGGAAATGATCTGCAATGGACTGGTCCTGTGTGTCTCTGTACATTTGCCTACACATTAGCAAGTACCTTCCAAAAGCCTACAGGAAAGTCCCCCTTGATTACTACGAAACTGTAGCTAGGCTGAATGTGGTAACAAAACAGCATAACACTCTCTTTACATCATAAAAGTGCCAGGCGTGTGTTCCAATGGCCAATTGGAAGCAGGAACAACCAGCAAAGGCAATTGTTCTGAGGAAGCTTTGAACTGCTTCAGAACTCTGTAAATGATTTTCGTCCAGCGGATTATGATTTATTCTGTTAAATCCCAAGGTGTTTTTCTGTTTTGTGGGAAATCAATCGCTCCAGTGGAAAAGCTTAATAATCAATAGGCACAGTGAAAGATGGCTCCTGGCAGCTTGTGATCAAGTGGAACACAACTTCACTCTATGTTAAGATTCCATAGACCCAACACATTAGGTCATTCAATGTCATCAAAGTATTTGACTCGAGTACATGCTGAACATGTACATTTTTAACGCATGTTGTTAACTTTACTGCTTTAATGCAGAGTTAAAGGAGACAATGTAGGCAGCAGGTTGCCTTCATGTTGTAGAATAATCTTAATGTTTTAAACTGCGTTTCAAGAAACCCTTTAAGACTTCTTAAGACACATAAGTCATGTCCGGACTGCATTTGCAACAGCTTTACCCTTTAGTTAATCATTATGGTTCATAGATTAAACACCACACTAAAGAGCTGGATCGGATATCCCGGGATAAACATGTGGCTGTTAGAAATATTAGATCACGGCTGACTGGCTTTGGAGATGAAATGCATCTTCTTGTCAAGAAATAGCAGAAGTAGAAAAAAACACCATACACTAATAAAAATATGAAACGCTAGTGGACAAAAACTAGATCAGATTAGTAAAATTCCATCCTCTCTGTCCAGTTTTCTTTTCTTTTTTTTTTTAAATGAAACTCCTAACTCTTAGTTAAGTTAATGATAAAAGATCTTTGGATGATTTAATTTCAATCACACCATCTTAAATGTAAGATGCTCTTCTGGAGTGTGTTGAAGGGTGTGGGCTCTACAAGGAAAAACCTACAGAATACACATACTGTATGTTTTTCTCATGACCTGAGTTATTTGGGAGCCAAGGTTAATCTTGGCACTAATGTTTCACACTTAAACCACGTACGTGGTTATGGGCTCAACACACAGGAATTCACTTTGGGAAAATCTGTTTCTTTTTTTAGTGAGTACAACTTTATAGAAAAGTTCAACTTAATGCATATATTCTTGAAAATATTTTTTTTCTGAACATAAATATATATCTCAAGTTAAAATTAGACTTGGTATCAAGTGTCCACTCCCCAATTTCCTTAAGAAATACAGAGAATTAACCGCTTATTCATCATCCGCCAATAAATACCGGGAAGAATGGATCATTAAAAGAAATGAGGCGGAACAGAGATTTGATTTATGAATCAGAAAAAGCTATCAAATATCACCTAAATTCATTATGTTGTTAATGACACTAAAAATCGGACACAGTAATAAAACAGTTGATTAAATGAAGTTGTAATGCAGTACCACGTTGATAAGATGAAACTGGAGTTTTGGGATGACGAAAATAGGGCACATGCAATGGAGTAACCTGCTGTGGTGTTGAGCTGCGGTTTATCAAGATCATTTGACTGCAGGGAAGCTTATTGTTTCTCAAAAGCTGAAACCGCAAGGGTTAAATAGCTCTGCCCTTTTTCTTATTCTGATTGCTCGACGGAAACAATTTGTAACGTTTCATTACATCTACTCTTGTAACACTACACTAATTTCCAGAGAAGATGCTATTCATTTGCTTCCAAGCTCTGTTCCAGGGCAGAGAATTGGATCAGAGTCACTGAACAAAACGCATTTACAACGTCTTGTTTTCTCTTCAAAGAAAAATATTTAAATAAGAAAGAGCTGGGGTCTGACGCACTGTAGGGTTTAGCTAACTAATGCATCCCAACAGTGAAATGCCATATACAAATATGTCCAACTGTATGCCTCCAAAAGTACACAGTTTCTGTGCAGAGGTGCTGTCAACATTTCAAGCCCTGACTGTGTGTAAATGCATTGAAATGTGCCTTGTTGAGTAATTCTATAATCCACCTTTGCTTTCAGTCATGTAACAGACAGAATGAGAAATATACAGGGAGCAGGGCAAAGAAAGAAAAGTCACAGCGCTCTTGTCAACTGAGCGTTGCTGACAAGCTACAGCCTGATGTAGCTTTTTGTTCAGTGTTGGAGCCAAGTTGACTGTTAACTGACGAGCCCTAATGGGAGAATATACTGCTGAGATGTGAGTAAGCAAAGATGCTGCCGTATGGAAAACCCATTAGTGCATATTGAATGAAACCTAGGAAAACTGGGACAAACTGGGAAGAAAAAGCAGCAGGAGCTTTAAAGTTTTTTTTAACTTTAAAAACGTCAAAGGAGCACTTTTCCTATCAAAACACTTGACATGGGGAAACGTCATTGCCATACAATGTTATTTACAGCCACAGCATTGCATCATCCAAAATAGGGAGTTATCACACACAGTTCCCAGAAACTAAAAGGAGGGAAAAGGACTGCCCCTGCATAGATTGGGCAGAGAGTGTTTCAAATGTTTAAGTGTTTAAAAAACCTGGAGGCTAAAACACCAAAGAGATCACACAACAGTTTGGCAAGTCTTTGTAAAGTTTAAATGTTGTGACTGAATCAGTTAAAGCAACTTTATCCTACTGATTCACGTCACTAAAATACCGTGTGTAGAACTACTGACAAGGTTAGCTATTAAGATCAATAATAACTACATGGGCAATAAATGAAAACCATTTCAGGAGTGGGCAAAGGCACAGTGCTGTTCTCGTCCATTAGTGTGTTCATATAATGTACAACTCCAATGCTATATTGTTTTCCCGAAGACCAATCAATTGACTGATGAATGAATAAACCATCCAGGTGAAAGTGAGTGACAACTGAGGCCTTATCTTAAGCAATCAAAAGATACAGTAGTACTGTGTATATATATGCAGTGTGTGTAGGTACAGCACACACATACACTCCTAAGGTGTAAGTTACAGCTTTTTCACTCTGATGAACACACCATTTCTAGGGATTTTACACCACAATTCAACATCTGTACAAAAATCCAGTGCTGACTTTTCCACAAACAAACCCAACCGAGGAGATGGGTGACCATGCTTGTGTGCTGACACAAAGAGAAAAAGCCTTATTCCCTCACAAGTTTTAAAACAACATCTTTATCACTCATCTCTGTCAATCTCCATCCAAGGAGTTCAAAGTTTCCTACTTAGAGACAGCAGTGATTTGGAAAAGCCTGGAAAGAATCTCAGTAACTAATGCCACATGACTGCGTGAGTGTCCGTCAGCAGTGTGCAGTATGGACAAGTACTGTACTGTGCTGTACAGTGCTGGCTGCTTGCATGAGCATGTTTGTTGCTGTTTAAAATAATAGTGTAATTTTTACAGACTTTAACATGTGCATTCCTGAATGTGAAAAAAACGACACTGAGTAAAGCTTCACAGAGCGCAAATCACTCAATGGTCCCGGGCATCCAGAGTCCACACAGCATCAGAGCAAAAAGAGAGACATTCTATTTGTTGTGGTTTTTATGTGTTATGCAACAGCATAGTAACAAAGCATTGTAGCATAAAAATGAACATAAAAAATATGTAATTAACCATTATACAACTTACCTTATCTTTACATATAAACAAAGACAAACTATACTGTTAGTTGTAGATAGCTCCCAATGTCATATATATATATAGTTTTGTTCATGTTTGTTCATGGTGAACCTACCTGTGACTGTCTTGGTTTTGACTGGGCTGCTGGCATAATCTGAGGCCTGATTGGAGGTTTGCTTGGCCAATGGTGTGCTTCCTACTGACACCTCATCCTCTCTCCTCTTGACCTTGGAGGCTGCGCCTGGATTCTGAAATGACATTATAGGATCACTGAGTACCTACAATATTGGCCCATATGGGGAAGGAATATGTAATGCATGAGTGTGCTTTTTTAATAAAATTGACATTTACTCAGTCATAGAAAAGTAATGTTTTTACTCCTACACGTACAAGAATGTAGTTAAAAAGCAAGGCCAGGAAACAAAAGAGAAACAGCCTTCTTTACTCTTGCCTCTGAAAGTCCCTTTTCCACGTCCTGCCGTTTCTACATACTAACAATTTCCCACCACATTGACCCTAAAGCATCAATGCCCTTTCCAGTGTCCTTCACAGGCTGTTGAATGGCCTTCAGCTGGAAGTCTTGTCTGAGTCAGACCTTGAGAAGGCCTTGACAGCCAGCTGAGGTGTATGGCCTTACAGAAACGAACCAATGAACACTGGCAGTGGCAGCCACATGTTTGCTGCAGCACGTCCAAACATACAGCAGCCGGTGGTGTGTATCCTTCACACTGCCCGCTGTCCAAATCATAACATGTGTTTTACCCCATGAAGCAATAAAGACTGAAAAGAGCAGGGGCAATTAACTCCCTTTTTTACACTAACACAAACACAAAAAAACCCAAAACACAGACACTCACACACACTCACAAAAAGTATTATAATATGATACCTTCAACTTCTTCATATTTATGTGTCTTTCTGGGGTGAACCTGTACAATATCCAAGGCATCAGACTGGGAATGTCTACTCTGTGTGTGTGTGTGTGTTATGAAGTATGTGTAGTGTGGGCACAGAGCTTTCAATGTCCATAACCATCACCATGACCCCTGTCAAACAAATAGAGAGTGAAGAGATGGAGGATCAGGAGCACAGCACATGGAAAAAAGCAAGGTAAGGCAGGTAGCAGGGTCAGGAAGGAAGAGGAAAGAAGGTGGAAGACACACATTTACATTAAGAAACATTAATGAAACAACACACAACTGTGTAGGTGCTTAGTCTGGAAGACAATGTGCGAGTGTAAATATTCACTCTGAGGGTCAGCGAGAGCAGCTGTTAGGAGTTCGATCACGTACCTGTTGCCTGCTGCTTCCCTTATGTGGTTGGTAGAGCAGCCATGTGCAAAAGACTGGATCCATGTTGATGGCGATGCCCTGGATGCTGACCAGCAGTACAGCACCTGGACATACAGAGGGGAAAAAAGTAAAAAGTTAGATAGAATACAGAAACACATTGTGCAATTCTTTGAAAAGCAGAAACATAATACAAGAGGATATGCTGTACATCTGTATTGCCTTAACAAAATAAACATGACTGTTAGCAAACAACTGTTTGATCAACACAAGTAGTTCAATAGAACCCAGATCAAGAGACAGGCAGAATTTCTGACTAAGTGGAAACTACAAGTCACACAGACAAAAACAGTTCCAATGCTCCTGCTGAGATTATTTCAGCAAAGCAGTCAGGACGTGAACATGGGTCATTTAATAAATGATTAGTAACAACCAGCAAAACAATAGTGACTTGGGGCAACGTTGGACAGATTTGAGTCTCAGTTTCTTCCATTCCTACAGAGTTTACACAGTGTACAACGAGAACGGCTGGTAGGCATCGAGGCTGCTTGTTAGAAGGCACTGTTTGTTTCAATTTCTCTATTCAAAGTGGTATCACTCTAAGCCAAGAATAACATTTTCTTTTGATAAATTTCTCTGAAACTCTAGACTTTCTTTGGGTTTGGGTTTACTCTTAAATAATAATCTTTACCAACAATAAGAGGGGCCTGAGGTAATGCATTAGGATCCTATCAATAATGATTCCCATGCCGACAGGATTAGCATGGGGTCTTTGGCGTGCCGTGGAATGTCCCAGCATGACGACAGGAGGATGTTTCAGCTCTAGAAGGACTTTCAGCAGTTTAATGGAGCTTTGGACGGAACCCTTTCTTCTGTTTCACGCCCGAGGCAAAACTGTGTGTGTGTGTGTGTGTGTGTGTGTGTGTGTGTGTGTGTCTGTGTGCTTATATGCATTTCACCTTCCACAAAGTCTGATTGCCTGTTGTTTGTCTTCAAATTCAAATGTCTCTTAAGCATGGACAGAGCACAATTACGAGCGCAGACGCACATTTAGTTACACAAGTTCAAACTTGGCAGCACTCCTCCATTATTCCCGGTGAACAATGCAAATAAAACGCCCCCAATTTGCTCCACTTTTACAGTGTTCTGTGATTTGTGGCCTGTGAGCTTTGTGTTCTTGCTGTAAATGTGGATGACAGCAAGCAGGAACAGCAAATTCATCTGACATGGGTGTCAGTTATATGTATTTGTAAAGGCAAATGTGCCTGTGCAGCTAAACTATGCAGTTAGTTAGCACATATCTTTGTCTATCTGTCCTAGTGTCACACTCTTATTCACTACACATTCTCTAATCCTCCATACAGTTTATTAATGGGACAGAAGACTTCTGGACAACTTTCTCTGGGGAAACTTTCATTGGATCAAGTCAAACTCGCTTACAGTTTCTTTTTCTATTGCTTCATTTATCTTTCTGCATTCCCTCTTCATCTTCTCCTGGAAACAACATCTCCCTAACAGCCATTTTCTTATTCTATTTCCACCCTTCTCCTCTCCCTCCTGACAAGGAATCATAACCTCAGCCCTGTGGCTTGAACTCTTCTACCACAATGTGGCTGCTTAATAGGCTTTGGCTGTGGCTGCAGCACTGGGGCCCAACTTCAAGTGGTTTCATCATAGCCCAGAACAGCACGAGCAGTATAGGGCCTGAAAAAAAAAAATACAGAAATAGGCTGAGTAGTGGAGATGTCGTGAAGATGCATTTAATAAATTGAGCCTAAATTATGGCCTATGAGATGCACTGAGCATGACAAACCACATTCTGGAGAAATGAGTCACTGACCAATAAATCATGCAACTTAGTAGATGGATAGTTTATCTAACAGTTAGCACGAGGGTGAAAGAGCAAATAAAAAATATAAAATGCTTACTTGCACATAACCAGAGCAACTTAGCTGTGGTTATCACATAGGATTATTATCCTAAATTAAAGCCAATGTGGCTTTATGGCACACCCTGCCATAAGCATGGGAATGTAATTGTGGTCACTTTTGAAGGGCGAAACAACAACCAAATTCATCTAAAATCCACAAAAAAAAAAAAAAAAAGTTTAAGGTGAGATACCGTTCGGTTAAAACTAAACCACAGAACCACTGAGTAATCCTGTGAGACTTTATTGGCTAGAAAAATCAACAGGGATTCTGGTTTTTTTTAACCTTACTTTTGCAAGAAGTCCTCATGTCCAGCAGAAGTAAAAAAAAAAAAAAAAAGCTCCAGTAGCTGGCATTAATGCAGCTTAGAGGATTCAACTCACAGCCCAGCAGTGGAGGAATCCTACTGTTGTAGGCTCTAACTCTAAAATAACCTTTTTTTTTGTGTGTCCCAGAACATAGTTTTAGGAATATTGGGTAGAAACAACTGCTGTAAAAAATGGGAAATCTATATAAAAAAAAAGGGCAGAAGTGTACAACGCTACAGTACCAATAAGATAGGCATCATTGTGTATGAGCAACACGATCTGCAGCTGGCTTGCATATGAGGTGTCCTTCAAGGGGACAGTGGACAACAAATCATGGTTGTTATTTTAGTTTGAGTGAGTTTTTAGTTTTCCACAGCAATCACTCCCATCAGTGCATTATTACTGTGCAACCCCTGCATTAGAGAAGGAGTTGGCAAAACCTACATATTGCTGATATGATTTATAATGGGGGTAACTATAATCAATAAATGGCAAGGTCATTACTGATGCTCAAAAATTGTTTCACAGAATTCAATTCCGACTTAGGTCTGTGCTGAGTTTAATAAATGTGTCCTTGAAAAAGCAAGTTAGTTCAAGTAGTAGGCAGCTCTCCTGGTTTTGTACCAGCAGCTTTCATCTGACTCTGGTCATGTGTCACACTCATCTAGCATCTCCCAGTGACAGACGTGACCATGTTGATACATCACAACACCACTCAAAAGCGCTCCTCTTTGAGATTAACAGAGCAAACAACATTTCTTCCCCCTCTCTGCTAGTCTGACAGTGACACAGAAACAAAATATGTGTTGACTTAACGTTTGAAGCTTTGAAGACCAGGGCTTTACCAACCACACTGTGTGTTCTTGTTTCATCACTGTGTTGACATAACTGCTGAGAGTGACACCTCCTTTGAAGCACGTAGCACCGAGAAAACAGCCTGGCATGCTCTGAGGGCGACCTCGGCAGCAGGTTAACTGATGTTTTTCTCTGCTCTAACTGAGCCGCATTGGTGTAATTACACAAAGTGATGACAACGATAACAAAGGTGTTTTCCTTACTTTCTTAATGATTCCTCATAAAAACACCAAAAAACTGCCCAGTGGCCCAGACTCTGTATATACACACAACTACAGAATGTTGTGAAATGCATTGACAAGGACACACTTACCTTGACCCAGAGTGGACCTAGTAATGCTGTAGGTGTTTTTTTTCTTTTTCATTTTCAGTTGAGACGAACAGAGTTTAAAAAAGTATATTAGCTGTTGTATTACAGCTGCCTGACATCTGTCTTGAGGCTAATGAAGGGCATTAGACAAGACTAAAATCATCAGCCTCAGGTCCTGTTCATGTTTTACTAACTGATTTATTTTAGCGGTCAAGAGCTCAATAATCAGCCACACATTTCTCCGTCTTCATGCCTTGTATCAAGTACAGAGGTTTATACATAGACACTTTTGAATGCAAAATCTGCTTTAGTACAATTATTGCAAGCATGAAATTCAATAAACTGGGAGTGGTTAGGTCAAAACAAGTTCAAAATCAAGACCCACAGTAGAGACTAAAGCCCTGATTGGGGTTACAGAGGGCACAACCTCTCAACGACAGGGCCATGACCCTATCGTCGGAATAACAAGGCGGCATAAAGAGATGGGGGTTGTTAACCATCTAACCCCCCAGATAGACTAAGGGGGAGGATTCTTCTCCAGGCCAGCTAATCGCCCCCGCAGAATCACTTCATTGTTGGACAGGAGGCAGTGCTGGGACCTTGCGTCCAGCTTCTCCAACAGAAAATAAATAAATATAGCCTAGCCCGCGTCAGCTAGATGACTTCTGACAGGTTTGGTTAATTTCGAAGCCAAGTAGCAAAACAAAACATTACGCCAGCGTGCGGGGCCTATGCTGCCTTTAATTGCTTTTCCGATGAGCTCATGACTCAAAGGTGTCCTGGAGTGAGCCATGCAGTCCGACAGGTGTTCTACTGGTCTAGTGTGTGTCTTCTTGTGTGTGTGAGCGTGTGCACGTAGTTGGCTGGGTGGGTGAGTGTGTGTGTGTGTGTAGATGGCTGGCTGCAAGTAACATGTTGTACAGCTTACACTATGATAAAGTTGTGTTACTCTATTCTAAAATAAGCCGTTTCTCCTGCATCTATTTTTGTAAGACAGTGACAGTATTAGATGTTCTTTCTTAAAGCAGACAGCACCCTCTGACACACATTCGCTGCACTACTGTTCTCCCACACAGAGCAGCCTGAGGGTAAAGCTGCAGCACAGGAGCCCAGGGACTCAGGAAGGACACAGCCAGGTTTGACTGGAAACAGACCTCGGCGTACAGAAAGCCTGTTCTCTCTCTGAGCCAATACAACACTCTGCAATGGAAGCCAGTTTACATGCATGTCTGCGCATACGTGTGTGGTTTCGGCAGAATATACGCACATGAAAACATGGCCCAAATGCAGTAGCCTTCAGCTGACAGTCTAGACCCAACTTGCAAAGTTTGACAATGGCTGTGGGTGCAGTGATTCAGTCTGCTAGAAAATCTTTGGAATTCAGACAAATTTAGAAAGAAAATAGATTCAACGTCAACTTCAAAAACTCACATTCATCAAGGGAAAAAGAAAGTAGGTATTCAAACAGACGAAGCACATTAGCAGTGCATGATGAGAAAGTATTTTAGTCATTCTCCTAATCTACATGATAAGTGAGTTGGCCCCAGAATTTGGCCATGAATGTATATGATTAATGGAATGACTAGAGTTAAGTCCCTGTACATGGAAGGCCCGTGAACCGGATACATCACGAACATAAAGTCTGGATAAGCTGTTTTACCATGCATGTCTCTGCATTAAAATTAATGGCTGCAAGGTCAGTGTAT